GGCTCTGGGGCTCCCCCAAAAGCTGAGGGGGGGCTGAATATGACACCCCCATCCCCAAACACCCCAAAGAACCTGGGGGGTCCCGGGTGGGAGCACCCAAACCCTGCAGGAGCCCAGGCCTGAGCTCGGCATCTCCCATTCTGCTTCCGAGGATCCTAATGACTTTTCCAGCCTTTTTTAAATTTTTTTTTTTTCATCTTCTCCTTCTTTATTATTTTTTTTTTCCTTATTCAAAGTGGGAATTCTTCCCTTTTCCCAGCCCCCAACCCCTTGTCCTGCATTCCTGGGGCGGGCGGCCGGGGGTTGATGAGGTGGCATCATCCCGTCCTTCCCCCCCCCCTTTTTTTAATTCCCCTCCCTCTCCATATATACATAAAAAAAAAAAAAAAAAAAGGAAAGAAAAAAAACACCCAAGCCGATGACATTCTTTTCTTTTCTGTCATGCTGCAAAAATTAAAGACACATCTTCAGCCTGGAGCCCGGCCAGGGCTTTTCGAGTCGCCGGGGCAGGATTGGAGGAGGCTTCGCTTGCAACGTGTCTTGGATGCTTGGAAACAGGGCTGGAGAAGGGATCTGGGGAATGGAGAAGGGATCTGGGGCTGGAGAATGGATATGGGGCTGGAAAAGGGATATGGGGCTGGTTATGGGGAATGGAGAAGGGATATGGGGCTGGAAAAGGGATATGGGGCTGGAAAAGGGATATGGGGCTGGAGAAGGGATCTGGGGAATGGAGAAGGGAACTGGGGCTGGAAAAGGGATATGGGGCTGGTTATGGGGCTGGAGAATGGATATGGGGCTGGAGAATGGATACAGGGCTGGAGAGGGGATCTGGGGAATGGAGAAGGGATCTGGGGCTGGAAAAGGGATATGGGGCTGGTTATGGGGCTGGAAAAGTGATATGGGGCTGGGTATGGGGCTGGAGAAGGGATCTGGGGAATGGAGAAGGGATCTGGGGCTGGTTATGGGGCTGGAGAAGGGATCTGGGGCTGGAGAATGGATTTGAGGCTGGTTATGGGGCTGGAGAAGGGATCTAGGGCTGGAGAATGGTCTAGGGCTGGTTATGGGGCTGGAGAATGGATTTGAGGCTGGTTATGGGGCTGAAGAATGGATTTGGGGAAGAGAGAATGGATCTGGGGCTGGAGAAAAGATCTGGGGAATGGAGAAGGGATCTGGGGCCAGAGAATGGATCTGGGGCTGGTTATGGGGCTGGAGAAGGGATCTGGAGTTTGGGAATGGATCTGGGGCTGGAGAAGGGGACAGGGCTGTGACACTGGCGTGGCCCCACAGACTCGCATGGGCACACGAGTGACCCCCACCCCGCCCCTCCCCCAGTGTGTTTTATTTAATATTGAAATTTAATGGCAGGGGAAAAAAAATCTCCAAATGAGGGGGGGGGAGTGACGTGTGGTGTGTGCCCCCCTCCCCGTTATTTCATTGTTAAATTGAGCGGATTTGGGGCTTTTCTGAAGGAAAATCCAAGAATGTTCTGGTGGGAGATCCTGCTCTGATGTGGGGTCACTCTGCAGTGCTCCCAGTATTCCCAGTATTCCCACTATTCCCAGTACCTCCAGTACTCCCACAATTCCCAGTATTCCCAGTGCTCCCCGTATTCCCAGTACCCCCAGTGTTCCCAGTGCTCCGGTATTCCCATTATTCCCAGTGCTCCCATTATTCCCAGTGCTCCCCGTATTCCCAGTACCCCCAGTGCTCCCAGTGTTCCCAGTGCTCTGGTATTCCCAGTGCTCCCAGTACTCCCAGTGCTCCAGTATTCCCATTATTCCCACTACTCCCATTATTCCCAGTATTCCCAGTGCTCCCAGTGCTCTCAGTACTCCCAGTGCTCCAGTCATTCCCATTATTCCCAGTGTTCCCAGTATTCCCAGTGCTCTTGGTATTCCCAGTGCTCCAGTATTCCCGTTATTCCCACTACTCCCATTGCTCCCAGTGCTCCCAGTATTCCCAGTGCAGGCTGTGAGGGCTGAGCCCAGCTCTCCCAGCATTCCTGGAATTCCAATCCCCGCTGCAAACCTTCGGTGCGGTGGCAGGAGGGACAAACTCCCAGTGCTCCCAGTATTCCCAGTATTCCCAGTACCCCGGTGAGCCTCCAGCCCCAGGGACAGGGTGGACAGAGGTTAAACACTCCCCAGTTCTCCCAGTATTCCCAGTAACCAGCGGAACCCCAAGCTTTCCATACCCTGGTGGGGGGGACAAGGGGAGGTGTGAAGGCCGAGCCCAGCGCTCCCAGTGCTCCCAGTATTCTGAGATTTCAGACCTTCAGCATAGTGGGAGGAAGGGGACAAATGGAATGAGCCCAGTGTTCCCAGTATTCCCAGTACTCCCAGTGAGCCCCCAAGCTCTCGGCACAGTGGCAGTGGGGACAAACAGAGCTCTCCCAGTGCTCCCAGTATTCCCAGCATCCCAATGAGCTTTCAAACCTTCAGCATAGAGGGAGGAAGGGGACAAATGGAATGAGCTCAGTGTTCCCAGTATTCCCAGTGTTCCCAGTGCTCCCAGTACTCCATTGAGCCCTCCCAGTGCTCCCAGTGTTCCACCGATCCCTCAAGCTCTCAGCACAGTGACAGTGGGGACAGACAGAGCCCTCCCAGTGCTCCCAGTATCCCCAGCATTCCAAGACTTCAAACCTTCAGCATAGTGGGAGGAAGGGGACAAATGGAATGAGCCCAGTGTTCCCAGTATTCCCAGTGAGCCCCCAAGCTCTTGGCGCAGTGACAGTGGGGACAAACCGAGCCCTCCCAGTGCTCCCAGTATCCCAACGAGCTTTCAAACCTTCAGCATAGTGGGAGGAAGGGGACAAATGGAATGAGCTCAGTGTTCCCAGTATTCCCAGTGTTCCCAGTGCTCCCAGTACTCCATTGAGCCCTCCCAGTGCTCCCAGTGTTCCACCGATCCCTCAAGCTCTCAGCACAGTGACAGTGGGGACAGACAGAGCCCTCCCAGTGCTCCCAGTATCTCCAGCATTCCAAGACTTCAAACCTTCAGCATAGTGGGAGGAAGGGGACAAATGGAATGAGCCCAGTGTTCCCAGTATTCCCAGTGAGCCCCCAAGCTCTTGGCGCAGTGACAGTGGGGACAAACCGAGCTCTCCCAGTGCTCCCAGTATCCCAATGAGCTTTCAAACCTTCAGCATAGTGGGAGGAAGGGGACAAATGGAATGAGCTCAGTGTTCCCAGTATTCCCAGTGTTCCCAGTGCTCCCAGTACTCCATTGAGCCCTCCCAGTGCTCCCAGTGTTCCACTGATCCCTCAAGCTCTCAGCACAGTGACAGTGGGGACAAACGGAACTTTCCCAGTGCTCCCAGTGCTCCCAGTATCCCAAAGAGCTTTCTCAGCATAGTGGGAGGAAGCGGGACAAATGGAATGAGCCCTGTATTTCCAATATTCCCAGTGCTCCCAGTATTCCCAGTGTTCCACTGAGCCCTCAAGCTCTCGGCGCAGTGACAGTGGAGACAGAGCACTCCCAGTGCTCCCAGTATCCCAAAGAGCTTACCCAGCATAGTGGGAGGAAGGGGACAAATGGAATGAGCTCAGTGTTCCCAGTGCTCCCAGTATTCCCAGTGTTCCACTAAGCCCTCAAGCTCTCGGCGCAGTGACAGTGGGGACAAACAGAGCGCTCCCAGTGCTCCCAGTTCTCCCAGTATCCACGATCCTCCAGCCCCCCAGCGCAGCGCGGGGGTCTCCAGGGCCGCACCCCCCTTTTCCCTGCCCCGTCCCCCGTTTCCCAGCGCGTTCCCCAAATGCTCCCCGAGCCGAGCGGAGCGGAGCGGGAGCTCCCCCTCCCCCGGTGCCACATTGGCCGCGTCCCTCCCGCTCCTCTCCCTGCCGAGCTCCCGGCCCCGGCACAGGCGGGGATTTTTTTGGCGTGTAATTACACCCTCCCCAAATTGCACGGTAGGTTGTGGATCATTGTCCAGGAGCTTTTGCTTTTTCCAACCAACGTGGCTCCTTCAAATGTGGAAACGGCCGTGGAGCCGTGCCAGGGGGGGAGAGCGAGGGGAGCGAGCGCGGCGAGGGGAAGGAAGGGAAAAGAGGGAAAGAAAGGGCTGAAAACACAGAGTCGGTGGGTTTGGGGGTGGGGTTTGGGGTGTCTGTGCTTCTTGGAGGGGTTTCGGGGTTGGGGTCCCTCGGGGGATGCTCTTGGGGACCGTCCAAGGGATGCTCTGGGGACTGGTGGCCTTGGCCTTGCTCCGTGCTTGGTCCCACTGGAGGAGGGTCCCCAGTGGGAGCCCTGGATGGGTTTTGGGGTGCCCCAGCTCTGGGAGTGGCTGTTGGGGGGTCCCCGATGGGAGCACTGGGTGTGTTTTGGGGTGCCCCAGCTCTGGGGGTGGGTGGCAGGGCCCTGGGTGTGTTTTGGGGTGTCCCAGCTCTGGGATTGTCTGTTGGGGGGTCCCCGATGGGAGCCCTGGGTGTGTTTTGGGGTACCCCAGCTGTGGGGATGGCAGGGCCCTGCTGACACTCCCAGCATCACGTGGCACCGGGGTCCCCAAAGTGCCACGTGCCACATCCCCTGTTCCCCACCCCGCCAACCCTTCAGACACCTCCGAGCGTGCAGAACTCCCCCAAAATCACAACCCCCGGCAAAACCCCGCACCCCAAACCCCCCCTAAGCCCGACCCCGGCCCCGCCGCGCTGTGCCCGGCCGTGTGTGCGTGTGCCCGCCCGTGTGTGCGTGTGCCCGCCCGTGTTCGCGTGTGCGCGGCCACACGGCCCGAAGGGTGGGGTGGGGGGGTCAGGGGGTGCCCCCCGACTCGCTGGGTGCCTCTGATTGGCCGAGGGGGCCGTCCAGAACCCGCTGCTCGCTCCGGGTCCCTCCTCCCCGCCGCCGCACACCGTATAAAAGGGCCGGCGCAGAAGTGGGCAAAGGGCAGTAGGAACTTTCTGCTGGGGTCTGGATTTGGAGCTCCAGGGTTGCATCGGCCCCGTATGACCCCAAGCTAAGAACAAAAAGAGACCCCAAAGAGTCTACATGTCTAATATTTAGACATGTTCAGCTTTGTGGATTCTCGGTCACTGCTGTTGATAGCAGCGACTGTCCTACTCGCCCGCGGGCAAGGAGAGGAAGACAGTGAGTAGCGGGCGCTGGGTGATGCCCTCACCCCTCGGGACGCGGCTCTGGGCTGGCACCGGCTCCGGGGGCACCCGGTCCGGCTGCCCTGGGGCGGCCGAGGAGCAGCTCGGGGTGGGCGTGCGGAGCGGAGAGGGGAATTAGGGGCGAAATAAGGAAAAGAGGGTAAAATGCGGGGGGAAAAAAAGAGAGAAGAGGACTGGGAGGATTTGGGGTTGGGGGAAAAGGGGTTTAGGGGGCTCTGGCGGTGAGGAGTCGGGGCGCCCTGCCAAGAGCGGGGAGGGAAGGAAGGGTGGAGAGGAGCCGGCGGGGAAGGAGGGAGACGGGACGAAGGGGAGGAGGAGGAGGAGGCCGGGAAGGGAAAGGAAAGGGGGGAAAGAGCGCGGGAGAGACAAGAGGGGGGAGAAGAGGAGGGAGAGGGGGGGGCCCAGCCCCGGGATCTGCGAAAGCCATCAGGAAAGAATTAGAAAAGTCTCGGATGATTCATAAGCAAAATGTTTCGGCAGCCGGGGCAGCGGGGGCTGCCAGCGGCGCGGGCCGGGGGCACGGCCGGGGTCACCCCCCCGTGCCACGCCACGGCCCCCGTGCCCGCTGCCACCTGTGCCAGGGGGACTCGGGGGGACCCAGAGCGCCCAGCGCTTTTTGCCCATTTTTGTCCTTTTTTGGTATTTTTTTTGCCGTTTTTCTCAAATCCATTTTTAATTATTATTATTATTTATTATCACTATTATCATTATGCATTTTGCACTGACAATGCCCATCCAGCATTTCCCATTCCCAGTCCTGCATTTCCCATTCTTCATTTTGCCTTCCCCATTCCCATTTCGCCTTTCTTTTTTTTTTTTTCCTTCCCCAGAAGAATTTTGCAATTTCCATTTGCTTTTTTTCTTAACATCCTTTTTTTCCCCTTTTTTTTTTACATTTTCCCCCCTTTTTTTACATCCTTTTTTCCCCTTTTTCTTTACATCTTTTTTTCCCCTTTTTTTTACATACTTTCCCCCCTACTTTTTTTTACATACTTCCCCCCCCTTTATTTTTTATATCTTTTTCCCCTTTTTTTATTTACATATTTTTTCTTTTTTTTTTTTTTTTTTTTGCCTTTTTTTCACCCCTTTTTTATTCTTGGCCTTTTTTATATATATTTTTTTTTAACATGGGGGGTGTTCCATGAGCTGGCGCGGCCCCTCCCCACGCCAAGACCCTTCCCCACCGTGGGGCCACCCCCGGGCCTGGCCGCTCGCCCTTCCCTCCCCTTCCCTTCCCTCCCCTCCCTCGCCCCGCAGCCCCCGCCCGCCTCCGCTCCCGTTCCCGATCCCATCTGGCCCGATCCAGCCCCGTTCCGCCCGGATCCAATTTCACCCCAAACTCGGGGGCGCGCCCGTCCCGTCCCATCCGTGCCCCCCCAAACCCCCATCCTCGGGGGGTGTTTGCCTTGGCCCGGCCGGCCCGAGCGAGCGGCTGCGGGGATTTTTTTGTTTAAATTCCAGCCGATGTGGGAAGAGTTTATTGTGGAGCTTTTCCTGTGTCACCCGGCGCGCTGATGAGAACCAGATGAAGGGAGAAGCGCTGCGGGAGAAGCGGGGAGGGGGTGAGGGGAGCGGGGGGAGCTCCGGGCCGCCCCTCCTGACGCTTCCCGTGCCCGTCGCAGTCCAAACCGGGAGCTGCATCCAGGATGGGCTCACGTACAGCGACAAGGACGTGTGGAAACCAGAACCGTGCCAGATCTGCGTCTGCGACAGCGGCAACATCCTGTGCGACGAGGTGATGTGCGAGGACACCTCCGACTGCCCCAACGCCGAGATCCCCTTCGGAGAGTGCTGCCCCATCTGTCCCGACACCGACGGTATCGCGACATCTGCCCCCCTCGGGGAGCGGCGGGCTCGGGGTCCCCCACCCCGGGTGTCTGGGTGTGGGGTGGGTGATGCTGAGCTGCTCTGAACCCCCTTTTTCCCCCCACAGCCTCCCCTGCCTACCCAGAAAATGCTGGAGTAGAGGTAAGGGCCCCCCCCAAAACGCAGCCCCCCCAAAATTTCACCACAATCCCACCCCCGTATTTGGAGCCCTCCTTTTCTAACCTGTTCTGTCTCTGCTCCACAGGGTCCTAAAGGAGACCCCGGCCCCAAAGGAGACAGGGTGGGTGTGCGCCCCCCTCGGAGCCCCCTGCTCTGCAGGGACCCCCATCCCACTGGGGGTCACTTCAATCCCGCTGGGGGTCACCCCAATCCCATGGCGTTTACCCCAATCCTTCTTGGGGCCACCCCAATCCTGCTGGGATCACCCCCAATCCTGATGGGGTTACCCCAATCCCATGGAGCTCACCCCAATCCTACTGGGATCACCCCAGTCCTGCTGGGATTCACCTCAATCCCACTGGGCTCACCCCAATCCCCCACAGGGGCTCACCCCAGTCCTAATGGAGCTCACCCCAATCCCTCTGGGACTCACCCCGATCCTGCTGGGATCACCCCAATCCTGATGGGGTCACCCCAGTCCTGCTAGGATTCACCTCAATCCCACTGGGCTCACCCCAATTCCCCACTGGAGGTCACCCCAATCCCCCACAGGGCTCACCCCAATCCCACAGGGCTCACCCCAATCCTGCTGGGCTCACCCCAATGCTGCTGGCATCACTCTCATCCCACTGGGACTCACCCCAATCCCCCCTGGGGGTCACCCCGATCCTGCTGGGATTCACCCCAATCCCCCACAGAGGCTCATCCCCATCCCACAGGGGATCACCCCCATCCTGTTGGAGGTCACCCCAATATCCCCCCGGGTCTCACCCCAATTTCCCCCTGATCTCACCCCAATTTCCCCCTGATCTCGCCCCAACCCCCCCCCCTGTATCTCACCTCACAATTCCCCTGGTCTCACGCTCTCTTCTCTCGGCAGGGACTGCCCGGCCCCCCCGGCAGAGATGGAATCCCCGGCCAGCCCGGCCTGCCCGGCCCCCCCGGCCCCCCCGGCCCCCCCGGCCTCGGCGGGGTGAGTGTGGGGGGGTCCCTGGTGGCACAGCCCCCCCCCCCCCCCAACCGGGGGTCCCTGCCCCGCTCACCCCCTGCTCTCCCTCCCTCCCGCAGAACTTCGCTCCCCAGATGTCCTACGGATACGACGAGAAGGCCGGAGGCATGGCCGTGCCCGGGCCCATGGTGAGACATCAGGGACACTGGGGACACTGGGGACACTGGGGACACTGGGGACACTGGGGACACTGGGGACATTGGGAACATCAGGGACACCAGGGGGAGCTGGGCGAGGGGACAGGACAGGAGCGGTCCCTGTGCTGGTGATGTCACTGAGCACCAGGACATGGCAGGGATGGGGACAGGGATGGGGTGACAGCAGAGACAGGGATGGGGTGACAGCAGAAACAGGGATGGGGACAGGGACAGGGATGGGGTGACAGCAGAGACAGCAAATGTGTGGGGATTGGGACAGGGACAGGGATGGGGTGACAGCAGGGACAGGGAATGTGTGGAGATTGGGACAGGGACAGAGTCAGGGACATGTTGGTGATGGGGACAGGGATGGGGTGGCCATGGGGACAAGGAATGGGTGCAGGTGGAAATAGAGATGGGGACATGGTGTTGGGGTGGCAATGGGGACAGGAATAGGGACAATACAATTGGGACAATAGGGACAGGCAATAGGGACAATGGGGACATGGCAATGGGGACAATGGAGACATGGCAATGGGGACATGGCAATAGGGACAATGGAGACAGGCAATAGGGGCAGGGATGGGGTGGCAATGGTGACAGGCCAAGGTCGGTGTTGGGGACAAGGAGCAGAGTGGGATAGGGTGGCAATGGGGACAGGGAGGGGGTGGCAATGGTGACAGGGAGGGGGTGGCTTTGGGACACTGATGGAGAGGAGGTGAGGGCAGCAGGGGGACGTGGTGGGGTGGCAGCAGGGTACAGCAGTGGGGTGGTGATGGGGACAGGGGATGGTTGGTGGTGGGGACGGGGACAGGGTGACAAGGCACCACTGCTGACACTTTCTCTTCTCCCCAGGGCCCAGCTGGTCCCCGTGGTCTCCCCGGCCCTCCCGGTGCTCCCGTGAGTGTCACCTCTTCCTTCCATTTGGGTTTGGGGACAAACAGCCCCCAGGGCCCCTCTGGGTGGTGGGGGGACAGGTCAGAGGGTGTCACACCCTTCCTGACAGCCACACAAGCGTGTGGGGACGCAGCCCTGGTGCCACCACGCCGGGGGACGCCACCGCTGCCACTGGGGGATCCAGGCCCAAACTCCTCACTTTCTGACCCATCTTTTCACCCTTTATTTTTTCTCCACAGGGTCCTCAAGGTTTCCAAGGTCCCCCTGGTGAACCTGGAGAGCCTGGTGCTTCTGTGAGTGCTGTCACCTGCTGATGTCCCCAGGGATGGGGACACTGCCAGCCCTGGCTGTGGGGACACTGTCCCTGCTCTGGGATCCATGGCAGTGGTGCTGGCACTGCCCGGGCTGGGTGACAGGGTGACAGGGGGCAGCTGTCACCTCACCCCTGCCCTCCCTCTCTCCTAGGGTCCCATGGGCCCCCGAGGTCCTGCTGGCCCCCCTGGCAAGAACGGAGACGACGTAAGTGTCCTGTCCTTGGGGTCCCCCCCACTTTGGTGGCCCTGCCATTCCCCCCAGGTGAGCAGGAGCTGCCTGGCTTGGGGACGTGCCACCAAGGCCGTGTCCTTGTCCTCAGGGTGAAGCTGGCAAGCCTGGCCGCCCCGGAGAGCGGGGTGCCCCCGGCCCTCAGGTGAGACGCACGGGGACACCCCCAGCTGTCCCCCCGTTGGGGACAGGGCACTGTGGTGTGGGGACAGCCCCCCCAGCGCCTCCATCACCACCTCGTGTCTCCCCCAGGGTGCTCGAGGTCTGCCCGGAACCGCTGGCCTGCCAGGCATGAAGGGACACAGAGTGAGTCCCCTCACCCCGTGCTGGTGACACTCAGGGGACAAGGGACCCCTGACCCCAACCAGGGTCCCCTCCTGACCCCCCGCCCCTTCTCTGTGCTGCCCCTCAGGGTTTCAGTGGTCTGGATGGTGCCAAGGGTGAGCCTGGACCTGCTGGCCCCAAGGTGAGGAGTGGTGGCAGCGTCACCGCTGTCCTGGCAATGTCACCGTGTCCCTGCAGAGCAGCTCCCTCATGGTGTCCTTCCTTCCTTCCTCCCTAGGGAGAGCCCGGCAGCCCTGGAGAGAACGGAGCTCCTGGGCAGATGGTGAGTGCTGCACCAGGGGGTCGGGGGGGGTTCTGGCCAACAGGGGACAAGGATGGGGAGGTGACACCTGCTGGGGACACAGCTCCTCCTCTGGGATCCACAGGGAATGGGGAGGGAAAGGTTGAACCCCTTGGGAACATCACCGTGGGCAGCAGTGGGATGGGAGGAGGCTCAGAAAGGGGCAAGTGTCCCTGCAGGTGACACAAATGTGTCCTGAACGTGTCCTGAACGTGTCCTTGTCCCCTCTCAGGGTCCTCGTGGTCTTCCCGGCGAGAGAGGCCGTCCCGGTCCATCTGGCCCCGCTGTGAGTATTCGGGATGGGCAGGGCTGAGACCCCTGCGCGGGCACGGGGCTCTGGAGGTCACCGGTGCCACCCGCGGCTGTCACTGACGCTGTCCCCTCTCCGCAGGGCGCTCGTGGCAATGACGGCGCTCCCGGCGCTGCCGGTCCCCCCGTGAGTACCCCCGACCCCACGGACCCTCCTGGGGAGGGGATCCCGCCCTGCTGCCCCCATGGGGAGCCCTGGCCGGGAGCCAGGGGGGCTCTGGGGGTCCCCTCGGGCGGGGATCCCCCCTCTGAGCCGAACCCTCTTTCCCATTTAGGGTCCAACTGGTCCCGCTGGTCCCCCCGGCTTCCCCGGTGCCGCCGGTGCTAAGGTAGGGCCTGCCCGGTTCTGGGGGGCTGGGACGGGCTGGGGGGCACTGGGAGGGCGGGCTGGGGGAGCGCTGGGCAGGGGAGGGGTCCTGGAGCGCCCAGGCTGGCACTGCCTGGCACAGTGGCACCCATGGGGACATCCCCTGGGCACCTGTCCTGGCTGTGTCGCCGCTGATGGAATCAGCCCTGGCGCTCACTGCTCTTCCTCCTCCTCTTCCTCCCCAGGGTGAGACCGGTCCCCAAGGAGCTCGTGGCAGCGAAGGTCCCCAGGGTGCTCGCGGTGAGCCCGGTCCCCCCGGCCCTGCTGGCGCCGCCGGTCCTGCTGTGAGTGACACCCGCGGGCTCCTCGTCCTTCGGCCTCGCGTGCCGCCAGCCCCGCCGTGACCCTCCTCTTCCTCCTTCTCTCCGCAGGGCAACCCCGGTGCTGACGGCCAACCCGGAGCCAAGGGCGCCACCGTGAGTGTCCCTCTCGCGTCCCCTCCCGGGCGGGGCAGGGAGGGCCGTGCCGCTCCCTCACGGCCCCGTGTGCCTCTTGCAGGGCGCTCCCGGCATCGCTGGCGCTCCCGGCTTCCCCGGTGCCCGCGGTCCCTCCGGCCCGCAGGGTCCCAGCGGCGCCCCCGGCCCCAAGGGCAACACCGTGAGTATCCCCGGGCTCCTCCAGGGGCTTCTCCCGGGCCGCGATCCCTTCCTCGGCACCTGGAGCTGCCCCCGAGGTGTCCCTGGTCCGTGCCAGGCCCGGGTGGCACAGGGGGTGGCAGATGCTGCGCCCTTGTCCCTCCGATGTCCCTCTGCGCCTCAATCCGCCGTTAACCCTTTCCTCTCTTCTCTCCCCTGCAGGGTGAGCCCGGCGCTCCAGGCAACAAGGGTGACACCGGTGCCAAAGGCGAACCCGTGAGTGACCCCCCGATGTGTCCCTGGGGGCGCGGGCCCCGCTGGCCCTGACCCATCCCGGGGGTCCTCATCCCTCCGCGTCCTTCCCCAGGGTCCCGCTGGTGTCCAAGGTCCCCCCGGCCCCGCTGGAGAAGAAGGAAAGAGAGGAGCCCGTGGTGAGCCCGGCCCCGCTGGGCTGCCCGGCCCTGCTGGCGAACGTGTGAGTAGCGATGTCCCTGTCCCCACGCCTACCATGTCTCTGTCCCTGTCCCCATCCCCGCCATGTCCCCATCCCTGTCCCCATCCCCGCCATGTCCCCATCCCTGTCCCCACTCCTACCATGTCTCTGTCCCCATCCCTGCCATGTCCGCATCCCTGCCATGTCCCCGTCCCCACTCCTACCATGTCCCTGTCCCCACCCTTGCCATGTCCCCACCCCCGTTCTCCTCCCATCCTCCCATGTCCAACGTGAACCCCCTGCGTGTTTGGGGACCCCGTGGTGCCACCTCCGGCCCCTTCATGCCGCTCCCGCTGGTGGCCATGTCCCTCCTGCCCTGGCCCCCCGATGTCCCCCCGTGTCCCCGCACTGACCCTGCCGTGTCCCCCTCAGGGCGCTCCTGGCAGCCGCGGTTTCCCTGGCGCCGATGGCATGGCCGGTCCCAAGGTGGGTGTCCGCGTCCCTCTGTGGGACAAAGTGGCGTCAGTGTGGCCCTGGGGACTCTGACCGCTGTCACCCGTGCCCGCACAGCGGCCACAGCGGCTCTGAGTGGCTGCCACCCGCGGGGACACGGCTCTGTGCCGGTCCCCGGGTGCTGTCCCTTCCCTGGGTCACCCCTGTCCCCCCTCCGCAGGGTCCCCCCGGTGAACGCGGCTCCCCCGGCCCTGTCGGCCCCAAAGGATCTCCTGGTGAAGCTGGACGCCCCGGGGAACCCGGACTGCCCGGTGCCAAGGTGAGGTGGCACGGTGACACGGTGACCCGGTGACACGGTGACCAGCACGGTCGCAGGGCTGTCCCGCTCTCTGTGCCGGTGCCGGAGCCGCTCTCCAGGACGCTCCCGCTGTCCGGAGCATCCCCTGGCCGTGCTGAGCCCCTGACCCCGCTCCCGCTCCCCGCAGGGTCTCACTGGAAGCCCCGGCAGCCCCGGACCCGACGGCAAGACCGGCCCTCCTGTAAGTTGTCCCCGCCGCTGTCCCCGCCGCTGTCCCCTCCTGCCCTGGCTCTCCAGGGCCCGGCTAAAGCAGCTCTGGCTCCTCCCGACAGGGTCCCGCTGGTCAAGACGGGCGGCCCGGCCCCCCCGGCCCCCCCGGAGCCCGAGGCCAGGCCGGCGTGATGGGATTCCCCGGTCCCAAAGGTGCTGCGGTGAGTGCCACCCATCCCCGAGGCCACCCTGCTCTCTGGGGACACTCCCGGGACCTGTCCCCATCCCCGGTGTCACCACGGGCTCATCCCGCTCTGGTTTTAGGGCGAACCCGGCAAACCTGGCGAGAGAGGAGCTCCCGGTCCCCCCGGAGCTGTGGTGAGTGTGGGGTGTCCGGGAGGGGGGTGACAAGGGAGGGGGTGAGGTGACAGAGAGGGACACGGTGGTGTGGGGTGGCAGGGAGGGTGACAGGGAGGGTCACCATGGTGTGGGGTGGCAGGGAAGGTGACAGGGAGCATCACCCCATGATCGTGTGACAGGGAGGGTGACAGGGAGCGTTACCCCAGCATGGTGTGGCAGGGAGGGTGACAGGGAGAATCACCCCAAGATGGGGTGACAGAGAGGGTTACCGTGGTGTGGGGTGGCAGGGAGGGTGACAAGGAGAGTGACAAGGAGCATCACCCCATGACAGGATGACAGAGAGGGCCGGCCTGGCACGGACCAGCTCGCTGGGGTGAAATGGGGTTGTGGGGTGTCAATGGAGTGGCAATGGGCTGTGAATGCGGGGTGAGGGCCCTCGGCAGCCAGGGCAGGCTCCGGGGGGCCCGAGGCCGCGGCGGGATGAGGTGTTTGGGATCCCAGCCCGCTGTTCGGGATCCCGGCCCGGTGTGTGGGATCCCGGCCCGGTGTTCAGGATCCCGGCCCGGTGTTCGGGATCCCGGCCTGGTGTTCAGGATCCCGGCCCGGTGTTCGGGATCCCGGCCCGGTGTTCGGGATCCCGGCCTGGTGTTCAGGATCCCGGCCCGGTGTTCGGGATCCCGGCCCAGTGTGTGGGATCCCGGCCCGGTGTTCGGGATCCCGGCCCGGTGTGTGGGATCCCGGCCCGGTGTTCGGGATCCCGGCCCGGTGTGTGGGATCCCGGCCCGGTGTTCGGGATCCCGGCCCGGTGTTCGGGATCCCGGCCCGGTGTTCGGGATCCCGGCCCGGTGTGTGGGATCCCGGCCCGGTGTTCGGGATCCCGGCCCGGTGTGTGGGATCCCGGCCCGGGCAGCTCGCCGCGGTGTCTCCCGGCCTTCGAAGGATCCCGCGGCCCCCGCCCAGGCTCTCGGCTCGCTCTGAGCACCCTCCTCTCCCTCCTCCCCAGGGCCCCGCTGGCAAAGACGGTGAAACCGGTGCCCAAGGTCCCCCCGGCCCCACCGTGAGTATCCCCCGGCCCGCGGCCACCCCCGGCCACGCCCGGTCCCCGGCCCCGGGCCTCGGGAGCCACCTGCGCCCCTCCATGGCTGTGCTGTGTCCCCCAGGGTCCCGCTGGAGAACGAGGTGAACAAGGTCCCGCTGGTGCTCCTGGCTTCCAGGTGAGGACTGTCCCCTCCCCGGCAGGGGGACAAAGCACCCAGAGCATGGGTGGCACTGCCATTGTCCCCTGCGTGGTGGCTCACGGCTCCTCTTCTTCCTCCCCAGGGTCTGCCCGGCCCTGCTGGTCCCCCTGGTGAGGCTGGCAAGCCTGGTGAGCAGGTGAGTGTGGGCATTGGGGACCCTCCTGTCCTCTCCCCATTGTCCCTGTCCCCTCCCCATTGTCCCTGTCCCCTCCCCATTGCCCCTGTCCCCTCCCCATTGTCCCTGTCCACTCCCCATTGTCCCCGTCCCCTCCCCATCGCCCCTGTCCCTATCACACCAGGGCTGCTGCTGCTGCTGCTGCTGGGGTCCCCCCAGGGCACCCCCAGGTGCTCCATGGGAACAATGGGAACCCCAGCCCTGCCCAGGGAATGAGGGACTCCTGGGCCACCCCCTCTGCCCGTCCCTGGTGCCACTTGTTCCCCTCTAACTTGTCACCTTGTCCTTCCCACTCAGGGTGTCCCTGGAGACGCCGGAGCCCCCGGTCCTGCCGGTGCCAGGGTAAGCTGAACCCCCCCATCTGCCCCCAACCCTGGGCACCCCAAAATGCCCCACACAGCCCCTGATGGGCCTGCCCTGTGCCACCTCCCCAGGGTGAGAGAGGATTCCCCGGAGAGCGCGGTGTCCAAGGTCCCCCCGGTCCCCAAGGTCCCCGCGGTGCTAACGGCGCTCCTGGTAACGATGGTGCTAAGGTAGGTGCCAGCCGGGCATGGGGCTGTGCCCGGCTTGTGGGGCACAGCTGGGGGGCAGCTGCGCTGGGTTTGCTGGGCCCGGGTCTCACTAATCCCCCTCTGCCTCCCTGCAGGGCGATGCTGGAGCTCCCGGAGCCCCCGGGAACCAGGGCCCCCCCGGTCTGCAGGGAATGCCCGGAGAGCGCGGTGCTGCCGGCCTGCCAGGCGCCAAGGGTGACAGAGTGCGTGTCCCCAGAGCCCTCGTGTCCCCAAACCCCGCTGTGCCCCTCGGTGACCTGCTGCCCACCATCCCTGTGCCCCCTCAGCTTCCCCTTGGAGCTGGGTGTGCCCTGAGTTGAGGCCGGTGGGCAGCAGCGTCCTGGGCAAGGGATGCTCTGTGCCACCTCTGTCCCCATATCGTGGGGCAGGAAATGCTCTGTGCCACCTCTGTCCCCATCCCTTGGAGCAGGGGATGCTCTCTGTCACCTTTGTCCCCATCCCTTGGGGCAGGGGATGCTCTGTGCCACCTCTGTCCCCATATCGTGGGGCAGGAAATGCTCTGTGCCACCTCTGTCCCCATCCCTTGGAGCAGGGGATGCTATCTGTCACCTCTGTCCCCATATTGTGGGGCAGGGGATGCTCTGTGCCACCTCTGTCCCCATCCCTTGGGGCAGGAAATGCTCTGTGCCACCTCTGTCCCCATATTGTGGGGCAGGGGATGCTCTCTGTCGCCTCTGTCCCCATCCCTTGGGGCAGGGGATGCTCTCTGCCACCTCTGTCTTCATATGATGGGGCAGGGGATGCTCTCTGTCACCTCTGTCCCCATCCTGTGGGGCAGGAAATGCTCTGTGCCACCTCTGTCCCCATCCCTTGGGGACAATCCCTCTCTGAGAGCCCAGCTCTTGTGAGGAGGAGGACGAGGATGGTCCCAGCCCATCCCAGGGAGGATGAAGAACCGGGGATATCTCAGAGCAGAGAGTGGTGACCCCTCCAAGGACCTGTCCCCGTAACCCCCCTTTGTCTCTCCCTCAGGGTGACCCCGGTCCCAAAGGTGCTGATGGCGCTCCTGGCAAGGACGGTCTCCGAGGCCTGACCGGTCCCATCGGCCCCCCCGGCCCTGCTGGTGCTCCTGGTGACAAGGTGGGGACATCCCGCAGGGACAGCCGTGTCCAGGCACTCAGTGCCACCCCCTCTCCACAGCCCTGATCCCTTTGTTCTGTTTTCTCCAGGGTGAAGCCGGTCCCCCCGGCCCTGCTGGTCCCACTGGTGCCCGTGGTGCTCCCGTGAGTGTCCCCCACCCTCGGTGATGGCCCTGCCACTCCTCGGTGGCCCTGGTGGCCCTGGCGGCCATGTCCCCATCCCGTCTCACGCCGTTCCCTCCCCTCTCCTGCAGGGTGACCGCGGCGAGCCCGGCCCTCCCGGTCCTGCTGGATTTGCTGGCCCCCCCGTAAGTGTGACAGACCCCCTTCCCCCGGCCCGGGGGTCCATGCTGCCCCCCCAGGGTGGCTCTGAGCCCCCCGGGCTCACCCTGTCCCCGTGTCCCCCCTCAGGGCGCTGACGGCCAGCCTGGTGCTAAAGGTGAAACTGGGGATGCTGGAGCCAAGGGTGACGCCGGTCCCCCCGGCCCTGCTGGCCCCACTGGTGCTCCTGGACCTGCTGTAAGTGCCCCCCACCAGCCCCCTCAGTGCCCGGGCTGCGGTCCCGCGGCTCAGCTCACCCCTCTCCTCCTCCTCTTCCTCCTCTTCCTCCCGCCCAGGGTGCTGTTGGTGCTCCCGGTCCCAAAGGTGCTCGCGGCAGCGCTGGACCCCCTGTAAGTACTGGTCTCGTGGGGAGTTTGGGGGCGTTGGGGAAGTTGGGGGGCACCCCCGGGTGAGAACAGCCCCGAGGGGCTTCAACTCTGCCTCTGCTCCCCCCACACCATGGGGCATCTCTGGCTCTGCCCCCCCAAAACCCTCTGGGGATGGCACCAGAGTGGGGTGTTGCCTTTACAACACCCCTTTACAATTTGGGGGGTCGCCTTTACACCCCCCAAATCAGCCCCCCAGGTGGGCTCTTTGCTCTGCCCACCAGCCCTGGGGTTCCCCTGGATCCCTGCACCTCGGGATCCGGCCCCACTGACCGCGACTCTCCTCCTTTCCAGGGTGCTACTGGTTTTCCTGGTGCTGCTGGAAGAGTTGGACCCCCCGGCCCCTCTGTGAGTACCCCTGGGGGGAGATGGGGGGCTGGAGATGGGGACAGGGGAGGGGACGAACTGGGGACAGGGGACAGGAGGCGCTGGGGACAGGAGGCACTGGGGACACTGGATGGGAGGCGCTGGGGACAGGGGACAGGAGGCACTGAGGACATGGGGACAGGAAGCACTGGGAACACAGGACAGGAGGCAATGGGGACACAGGATGAGAGGCGCTGGGGACAGGAGGCACTGGGGACATGGGGATGGGAAGCACTAAGGACATGGGGACAGGAGGCACAGGGGACAGGAGGCACTGAGGACATGGACGGGAGGCACTGGGGACGTGGGGATGGGAAGCACTGGGGACAGGAGGCAATGGGGACAGGGGACAGGAGGCACTGGGGACACTGGACAGGAGGCACTGAGGACACGGACGGGAGGCGCTGGGCGCCATCCAGGTGCTGCACGTGGCCGCCCTGTCCCACTTGGCCCCGGGACAGCCCTGGCCGCCCTTCAGCTGTCAGCGGGGGCGTCCCGGCCTGACGGCACCGCCTCCCCCGCCCCGTGCAGGGTAACATCGGCCTGCCCGGCCCGCCCGGCCCCGCCGGCAAGGAAGGCGGCAAAGGACCCCGCGGTGAGACCGGCCCCGCCGGCCGCCCCGGAGAGCCGGGACCCGCCGGGCCCCCCGGTCCCCCCGGCGAGAAAGGAGCCCCCGGTGCTGACGGTCCCATCGTGAGTCCCCCCCTGCCCGCATCTCTGTGCTCGCCAGGCCTCTCGCTGTCCCCTCCGCGGGGATGGGGAGGTGACAGCGGGGCTGTCCCCGCTGAGGCGCCGTTTGTCCCCGCAGGGCGCTCCCGGCACTCCCGGACCCCAAGGTATCGCCGGCCAGCGCGGTGTGGTCGGTCTGCCCGGCCAGAGAGGCGAGCGAGGCTTCCCTGGGCTGCCCGGCCCCTCCGTGAGTACCGGGGGGCTCCGGGGACCCGCAGGCTCTGTCACCCCCTCGGGGTGGCTCTGTGACAGTGCCTGAGCCCCAATTGTGTCCCCCCGCAGGGTGAACCCGGCAAACAAGGCCCCTCTGGCTCTCCTGGTGAGCGCGGCCCCCCCGGCCCCATGGGCCCCCCTGGTCTGGCTGGACCCCCTGGAGAAGCTGGACGTGAAGTGAGCACACATGGTCACCATGGGGCTGGGGACACGGACCCTGTGCTGATGGGGGGCTGAGAGACCCCCCGTGCTGATGGGGGGCTGTTGGACTCCCCCGTGCTGGGGATGTGCTGATGGGGGGCTGTTGAGCCCCCCGTGAGCCCCCCACCCTAACGAGGGTCTCTGCTTCCCATAGGGCGCCCCCGGTGCTGAAGGTGCCCCCGGCCGTGACGGTGCTGCTGGTCCCAAGGTGAGTGGGCTCTGAGGGGTGTGGGAGGGGTGATGGGGCTGTGCTGGCCCGCACTGACCTCTCCTCTTCCTCCTCCTCCTCCTCCTCCTCTCAGGGTGATCGTGGTGAGACCGGCCCCGCCGGCCCCCCTGGTGCTCCCGGTGCCCCCGGTGCCCCCGGCCCAGTCGGACCTGCTGGCAAGAACGGAGATCGCGGTGAGACCGTAAGTGAGGGGTGCCCCCGGAGCCCCCTGGCACCCCCCGGCCCCGGGACACCCAGAAAGGACCCAGCTCTGGGGTCTGGCCCCGGGCTCAGCTCCTGATGCTGCCAGGAGCTTCCCAGGCAGGCAGAGGTGCCACCACCACCCTGCAATGGGTGATCTCAGAGGTGCCACCACCACCATGCAATGGGTGATTTTAGAGGTGCCACCACCACCCTGCAATGGGTGATCTCAGAGGTGCCACACCACCCTGCAATGGGTGATTTTAGAGGTGCCACCACCACCCTGCAAAGGGATCTCAGAGGTGTCACTGCCCCCTTGAGGGTCCCCGAGCCTCTCAGGGTGGTTCTGCCCCAAGCCGGCAGCAGGAGGTGCAGGATGCTCTAACCTGTGCCCTTCTCTCCTGTCCCAGGGTCCCCAAGGTCCCGCTGGCCCCCCTGGTCCTGCTGGTGCTCGTGGCCCTGCTGTAAGTGATGCTCTGCTCTGCTCTGTCTCCCTCGGTGCCTCTGTGTCCCCCACAGGCGTGGGGACAGCGACTGGCCAGCACTGCACTCAACTCATCTTCCTCCTCCTCTTCCTCCTCCTGCAGGGTCCCCAAGGTCCCCGTGGTGACAAAGGTGAAACCGGTGAACAGGGTGACAGAGGCATGAAGGGTCACAGAGGCTTCTCCGGTCTCCAGGGCCCGCCTGGTCCTCCCGTAAGTCCCGCGGGGTGACGGTGGCCCTGCCACACGTCCTGGGGGCAGCACGGGCTGCTGATGTCACCTCTGATGTCGCCTCTGATGTCGCCTCTTCTTCTTCCTCCTCCCCTGTCACAGGGCTCTCCTGGTGAACAAGGTCCTTCTGGTGCTTCTGGTCCCGCCGGTCCCCGAGTGAGTCCCGGGATGAGCTGTGACATCCAGACATGGCTGTGGCACAGCGGGGAGGGCGGGGGGGTCCCCACGGATTCCTGCAGGGTTTGGGGTCAGGGCTGGAGGCTCTGCCGGGTCCCCACGGCCAGCGGGATTCCCGCAGGGTCTGGAGGCTCTGCCGGGGTTACACGGCCATTGGGGCACCTGTAGGGTTTGGGGTCGGGGCTGGAGGTTCTGCCGGGTCCCCACGGCCGTTGGGACACCTGTAGGGTTTGGGGTATTGGTTGGAGGCTCTGCTGGGTCCCCACGGGATTCCTGCAGGTTTTGGGGTCAGGGCTGGAGGCTCTGCTGGGTCCCCACGGCCATTGGGATTCCTGCAGGGTTTGGGGTCAGGGCTGGAGGTTCTGCCAGGTCCCCACCACCGCACTCACGCTTTTCTCCCACCCCACAGGGTCCCCCTGGCTCCGCTGGTGCTGCCGGCAAGGACGGTCTGAACGGGCTGCCCGGCCCCATCGGTCCCCCCGGCCCCCGCGGCCGCACCGGCGACGTCGGACCCGTCGTACGTCCCAAACCCAACCGAACCCTCCCGGAGCCGCCGGCCTCCAGCGCCCGCTCTTCCATCACCATCCTCCTCCTCTCCTCCTCCCGCAGGGTCCCCCCGGCCCCCCCGGGCCCCCCGGTCCTCCTGGCCCTCCCAGCGGCGGCTTCGACTTCAGCTTCCTGCCGCAGCCGCCCCAGGAGAAGGCGCACGACGGCGGCCGCTACTACCGGGCCGACGATGCCAACGTGATGCGCGACCGCGACCTGGAGGTGGACACCACCCTCAAGAGCCTGAGCCAGCAGATCGAGAACATCCGCAGCCCCGAGGGCACCCGCAAGAACCCCGCCCGCACCTGCCGCGACCTCAAGATGTGCCACGGCGACTGGAAGAGCGGTGGGTGTCCCCGCGGTCCCCTCGGGGCTGTCACCGCGTCCCTGTCCCCTCTGCTGCTCCTCAGCTCTGTCCTTCTGTCCTGTCTCTCCTGCGTGCCCTCCCCTCCATCCTCCTCCTGTCCCTCTCCCGTTTCTCCCCCTCTTCTTCCTCCTTTCCTGCTCCACGCTCCGCCCCCAGCTCCCTCCTTTGCCTTCCTCACCTCCTTCCTCATCTCCCAGGGCTGCTCCTCATCTTCCTCCTTCCTCCCTTCATCCTCAGCATCTCCCAGTCCCTGTCCCTCACCCATCCCTCCATCTTCTGCTCCTCACCTCCATTCTCCATCTCCTGAGACTGTTCCTCACCCTCATCCTTCATCCCTCACCTGTTCTCTCCTGGATTCTTATTACCTCCATCCCTCTGGTTGTTCCTCACCTGTTCCATCCCTCTGGTTGTTCCTCACCTGTTCCATCCCCTTGGGCTGTTCCTCAGCTCCGTTCTCCATCTCCTGGGGCTGTTCCTCACCTTCATCCTTGATCCCTGCTGGTTGTTCCTCTCCCCCATCTCCCTGGCTGTCCCTCCCCTGTTCCCTCATGGCTGTCCCTCTCTCCCATCCCCTGTCTGTCCCTGTCCCCACCACCCTCCCTGCCCCTCTCCTGACCTGTCCCTGTCTCCTCAGGCGAGTACTGGATCGACCCCAACCAAGGCTGCAACCTGGACGCCATCAAGGTCTTCTGCAACATGGAGACGGGCGAGACGTGCGTGTACCCGACGCAGGCGTCCATCGCCCGCAAGAACTGGTACCTCAGCAAGAACCCCAAGGAGAAGAAACACGTCTGGTTCGGCGAGGCCATGAGCGACGGCTTCCAGGTGGGCTCGGGGGCCACCAGGGGGTGGAGGGGATGAGGAGCCTGGAACGGTTCGGTTGTGACCGATGTCCCCTCGCGCAGTTTGAGTACGGCGGCGAAGGCTCCGACCCGGCCGACGTGGCCATCCAGCTGACCTTCCTGCGCCTCATGGCCACCGAGGCCTCGCAGAACGTCACCTACCACTGCAAGAACAGCGTGGCCTACATGGACCAGGCCAGCGGCAACCTGAAGAAGGCCCTGCTGCTGCAGGGCGCCAACGAGATCGAGATCCGCGCCGAGGGCAACAGCCGCTTCACCTACGGCGTCACCGAGGACGGCTGCACGGTGAGTGACGGGGATGGTGGCGGTGGCGCTGGGGACACGCTGGGGACAGGGAGTGACCGCGGTGTCCTCCCCACAGAGTCACACGGGCGCCTGGGGCAAGACAGTCATCGAGTACAAGACGACGAAGACCTCGCGCCTGCCCATCATCGATTTGGCTCCTATGGACGTCGGCGCTCCGGACCAGGAATTCGGCATCGACATCGGCCCCGTCTGCTTCTTGTAACCCCGGACGCCCCACGCGTGACAGGAGAGAGTAATAATAATAATGATAAAAATAATAATAAAAAAAAAACACCAAAAAAAAAAAAACCTGCCAAAAAAAAAAAAACCAAAAAAAAAAAGGAGAAAATTTCACATGGACTTTTTGAATTTGTGTCGGTTTCTATCCAGCGTCTCTAAAACAACCCCGGTTGCGTTGCCGTAAGAGAAAAACCTCAAAAACCCTCTCAAAAAAAAAAAAAAAAAGCATTCAACCCCCCCTAAAAAATACTAAAAAAACCAAATAAATGACTTTTTCAAACAAAATCACCAGGAAGTGGGTTCGCTTGCTTGCCCCCCTCATTCCTCAGCCCCGGAGATGGCAAAGCTCAGCTCCCCAAGGGTCCCCGAGCCCCCCGGGACCCCCAGGCCCCCTCCCCGCCAGCCCCTTCGCTTCTTGCATCTCATTAGAATTTTAATTTTTGCTGCGAGGAAGATGTTGAACCCCTGGCTATAATTTGCTTTTTCTCCCTTGTTTTCCCTCTTTCTCTCCCCTCTCCTCCTTGTTTTTTATTTGGATAATGCTGATTTTGAGTTCTCTCCATTTCCTTTTGTTCTGGTTGTTTTTTATCGTGGTTTTTTTTTTCCTGTTTTGTTTTGTTTTGTTCGTTGTTTGTTGTTCATTTTATTTTTATTCAGGCAGCAAAACCAATTCACTCCCAAGCCACGGAGCAGCTCCGGCCCTGCGCTGACGCCCCTGTCCGGATGGCTACCTCACCACTCTCGGGGTGTTTCATCGTCTTTTTGAGTCTGAATTTTGGGGTTCTTTTTGTTTTTTTAGCTTCGTTTGAAGCTTTTCAGCCGTGCCGGGACTTTCCTGCCAGGTTCAGAGCAAAGGTGCTAATTTCCCCCCCATCATGTTCCCCCTCTTTTTTCTCTTTGGTTGCTCTGTTGTTCTCTCGTTTTGATTTTTCCTTTGGAGGTTTCTTTCCCTCAGGATTTTTATCCTGGTTTTTGGGTTTTCTTTTTTAATTATTATTTTTAAATATTCTCTTTAATTTTGGCCCCGGAACACCCAACCCCGGGACCGCCTGGTGCTACAACCTCCAAAGAGGTCTCAGCTTGCTCTGTTTTAATCCCCCTCTATTTTATGCTTTATTTCCCTCCTTTTTTTTGCTGCTCAGCTCCACTGGGGAATTTTCCAAAGGTGCTATTCCCCCCTCACCCCCACCTCCAACGCCCCACCAGCAAATCCCGCCAAGCAAGAGGCACCGAATTCCGAGGGGAAAAGGAATAAATCGATTTTCCAGGTCGAGCAGGTGGAACTTCAGCTCTGCTCTCATCTTCCAGCAGCTTTTTTCCATCCATTCATCCATCCCTCCATCATCCATCCATCCATCCATCCATCCCTGCATCCTCCCCGGGCACGGAGGGCCACGAACCCACTCCCTTTGCCAGGCCCAGCTCTGGCATTTCCCCGGGTTTTGTACCTACTTTGTATAATGTATTATAATAATAATTAATTAATTAAGTAATTAATAATTTTAAAGCGGTTTGGGGGTTTTCTTCATTTTCTTTTTTTTTTTTTTTTTTTTCCGAAAATGGATATTATTATTATTTTTTTTTTTTTTCTTTCTCTGACTGCTGAAATAAAGGCATGTGAAATGATCCAACCAACCTCGGGCTGCTCTCTGCTGCTCTCGGGGGGCTCGGGGTGGGGGTGTCCTGATGGGCGATGTTGGGAATTCCTCCTCCCCGATCCCGCTCTCGTCCCGTCCGATTCCGCTCTCTCCCGGCGAGTTCTGCGCTCCGCTCCTTGCCCGTCCTCCCTCCTCCTCCTCCTCCTCTTCCTCCTCCTCCTCCTCCTGTCCCAGCCCCCCCAACCCGGGATGAGGGGGGGAGAAAGGAAGGAGAGGGGGTTGGGATGGGCTGGGGGGGGCAGGGACCCCCAATAGGAGGGGTCTGTGTCCCCAAATGGGGAGGGGAGGAAGGGCTGGGGACGCTGGGGGAGCTCAGCTCAGAGCGACCCCCAAAAGGGAGAGCTGGAGAGGGGGGTGGGCACAAAGAGACGCCCCCAAAATTGGGGCAGAGGGGTGAGGGGCTAGCCTGGTGTGGGGGTGCCCCGCTATGAGCCCCCCATCCTGCCCCTCATTGCCCCCCATCCCTGCCCCTCATTGCCCCCCATCCCTGCCCCTCACTGCCCCTCATCCCTGCCCCTCATTGCCCCCCATCTCTGCCCCTCACTGCCCCCCATCCTGCCCCTCATTGTCCCACATCCTACCCCTCATTGTCCCACACTCCTGCCCCTCATTGCCCCCCATCCTTGCCCCTCATTGCCCCCCATCCCTGCCCCTCATTGGCCCCCATCCTTGCCCCTCATTGCCCCCCACTCCTGCCCCTCGTTGTCCCCCATCCCTGCCCCTCATTGCCCCCCATCCTTGCCCCTCATTGCCCCCCACTCCTGCCCCTCACTGCCCCCCATCCTGCCCCTCATTGCCCCCCATCCCTGCCCCTCATTGCCCCCCATCCTTGCCCCTCATTGCCCCCCACTCCTGCCCCTCGTTGTCCCCCATCCCTGCCCCTCATTGCCCCCCATCCTTGCCCCTCATTGCCCCCCACTCCTGCCCCTCATTGCCCCCCACTCCAGCCCCTCACTGCCCCTCATCCCTGCCCCTCACTGCCCCCACTCCTGCCCCTCACTGCCCCCCTTCCCTGCCCCTCAGTGCTGGTCTGTGCCCCCTCCCCATGGCGGGGGGCTCGCAGGGACCCCCGGGGCCGCAGTGCCGGCGCTGTCCCGCTCCATCAATGGCTCCCCTTGTTCCGCGGGGCCCCCGCGCGTTCCTCTCCCCCACCTGGCGCCGCCCCGGCCGGGGGGGCTCTCAAAGAGCCTCTTTCTTCCGCGGGGCTGGGCCGGGGGCACCCCCGGCGGCGGGGAGGGCTCCGGCGGGCTCCGAGCGGAGCGAGCGGAGCCTTCGGGGGCTGCGGGACGACCCAGGCGGGCACGGACACCCAGGTGAGCTGGGGAGGGTTTGGGGGGCCATGGCGGGGCTCTGGGAGGGTGTCCCCGCTTTATCCCAATCCCCAGCCCCATCCCTGTCCCCCATTTATCCCAATCCCTGGCCCTATCTCTCTTCCCTGTCACCCCCTTTTCCCAGTCCCCAGCCCCATGCCTGTCCCCCCATTTATCCCAATCCCCGACCCCTCCCCTGTTCCCCCCTTTATCCCAATCCCCATCCCGCTCCCCTGTCCCCCCCTTTATCCCAATCCCCTTTTCCCCACCCCGCTCCCCTGTGTCCCTATGGGGCCTGGGGTGTCACTCAGAGCCACCCCAGCCCTTTTAGGGGGTTGCCAGTTTTGGCGGCTGAGCACCCCCAAACCTACCCCATAAATAAAGCAAAACAGCCTCATTTCATCACTGAAACTCAATTTATGCACCAAAATTCACCCCCAAAAAAGCGGGGACACCCCAAACCCACAACTCCTCTTCCTCCTTACCGGGGTTTTACCCCCATAAACCCCCCTGGACGCGCTGTCCCCAGCCCTGTCGCTGTCCCCAGCCCTGTCGGTGTCCCCGGCTCGGTGTCCCCGGCTCGGGGTCCCCTCAGGGCGGCAGCAGCGGGGCTCGGGCGCTGCCCATGGGGTCGGTGCGCTGCCCGGTGCGGATGTTGAACATGGGCAGCGTGGAGAGCGGCCGGGCCACGTCCCGGGGCACGTCCCGCCTGCCGGCCATGAGCCGCAGCTCCCGCGTGTCCCCCGCGATGGAGCTGTGGTGGAGCAGCTGGAGGCTGCGGGGACAGCGCGGCATGGAGCTGGGGCTGCCAGCAAACCCCCCTTGGGAGCCCATTTTTGGGGCGTCTGTCCCGTCATGGGGTGAGGGTGGCGGGTGTTTGGGTGTGCGCCCCAAAATTGGGGTCTTCACCGCCAAATGAGGGTGTGCACCCCATCAGTGGGGGCTGCTCCTCGTCACTGGGGGCTGCTCACCCTTCAGTGGGTCTGAATGCCGTTATTAGGGTGTGCCCCCCAAAAATGAGGGTGTGCTCCCCATCACTGGGGTCTGCTTACCCTTCAGTGGGGTCTGAATGACTTTATTGGGATCTTCACCCCAAAATGAGGGTGTGCACCCCGTCACGGGGGTCTGCTCCCCATCACGGGGGTCTGCTCACCCTTCACTGGGGTCTGAATGCATTTATTGGGGTCTGCCCCCCAAAAGTGAGGGTTGAACCCCGTCATTGGAGTTTGGGTGTCGTTTCTGGGGTCTGCCCCTCATCTCTGGGGTCTGTGTGTCCTTTCTGGGGTCTGCCCCTCATCTTTGGGGTCTCCTCCCTGCCTGGGGTCCCTCGGAGGCTGTCACAGAAGTGAAGCAGCTCCTTGTGCCCCACCCCGTGTCTCAGAGGGGTTTTGGGGGGCCCCGAGGGGTGGGGAGGGCAAGAGGGGGCAGTAGGGGGGGTGGCGGGACCTTTAGGCTCCATGGCACCCCCAAAAGAGTTGATTGTCCCCCCTTTTCCTCCCCAGCTCTGTCCCCACACTCGGCCATAAGAAACCTCCCAAAACAGGTCCCAAAAGCAGCCCCCCCAAAAAACAGCCCCCCAAACAGCCCCCCAAAAAGCAGCCCCCCAAAGCACCCCCCAAAGCACCCCCACAGCTCAACCAGCACTCACTCAGACGTCTGCAAGTCCCGTTTTTCCCTGCAAAACACAAGAAAAAGGGGAAAACCCCAATAATTATGGCGAGAAGGGCTCTCCCCACCCCCGGCTCGTCCCGGGGGTCTCAAGGGCTGGGGAGGGGACACCCGGGGGGGTTGGGGGGACCCCCGACTCACACTCCCTCCCGGCGGCAGCACATGAGGTGGCCCAGGAGCAGCGACAGCAGCGCGGCCACGGCCAGCGGCACCAGCATTGTCACCAGGAACGGGGACAGCAGCGCCCGGGGGGGGGCATCGCTGGGGGGCTCAAAGCCGCCCCCCCCCTCCAGCACCCCCGGCCCCCAGAGCGGCCCCGGAGGGGTGGGGGTGGGAGACACCTGCAGCTGGGGGAGAATGGGGGGTTAGGGGGGGCTGGGGACACGGGGGGACATGGGGGGACACGGGGGGACACGGGGGGACACAGGGACACCAGGGGACATGGGGGACGTGGGGAGGGAACGGGGGGACACAGGGGACATGGGGGGACGTGGGGAGCAAGGGGGGACATGGAGGGACACATGGGGACACGGGGGACACCAGGGGACACAGGGGGACATGGAGGGACACCAGGGGACACAGGGGGACATGGAGGAATATGAGGGGACATGGGGGGACATGGGGAAACAAGGGGGAACATGAAGGGACACAGGGGACACAGGGGGACGGGGGGGGACACGGGGGACACAGGGGACATGGAGGAACACAGGGAAACAAGGGGGAACATGGGGGGACACAGGGACACCAGGGGATGCAGGGGACACAGGGGGATGTGGGGGGACATGGGGAACACAGGAGGATATGGGGGGAACACAGGGGGATGTGGGGGGATATAAGGGAACGTGGGGGACACGGGGGAACACAGGGGGACAGGGGGGACACCAGGGGACACAGGGGGACACCAGGGGACATGGGGGACACGGGGGGGATTTGGGGGGATATGGGGGACACGGGGGACAGAGGGGGACACAAAGGGACTTGGGGGAACACGGGTGACACCGGGGGACACAGGGGACACAGGGGGACATTGGGGGACACAGGGGGGTCTCACCAGGGTGAGGTTGCACCAGCGGATGGAGAAGTGGGGGGCGAAGGTGTCGTAGCAGGAGGCCAGGGGACGCTGGCCGCGGTGACAGCGGGCACGGCTCTGCGGGGACACGGCCGAGGCCAGGCACGGCGAGAAGGGGCTGTGGGAGCCCACCTGGACGTACACCCTGTGGGACAGGGCACCCCAAAACCCACCATGGTCAGGAGGGGCTGTGGGAACCCACCTGGACGTACACCCTGCACAAGAGGGCACCCCAAAACTCACCATGGTGAGCAGGGGCTGTGGGAGCCCACCTGGACATACACCCTGCATGGCAGATGACCCCAAACCCAGCCACAGTGAGAAGAACCCACCCCACAGGTGGGAGATGACCCCAAAACCCCTCATGGGCCCTGAGGACATCCCCATGACCCCCATCCCAGCCCGTACCCCTCCCTGCGGCCCAAAGCTGACCCCAAAACCCCTCATGGGCACCGAGTCCATCCCCATGACCCCCGGCCCAGCCCGTACCCCTCCTTGTGGCCCAGAGGTGACCCCAAACCCCTCATGGGCACCGAGTCCATCCCCATGACCCCCGGCCCAGCCCGTACCCCTCCTTGTGGCCCAGAGGTGACCCCAAACCCCTCATGGGCACCGAGTCCATCCCCATGACCCCCGGCCGTGCCCGTACCCCTCCTTGCGGCCCTCGATGGGCAGCGGGACGCGGCCGCCGCGGTCCAGGGCGGAGGTGACGTTGACCACGTGCAGGTCCCCGCGCTCCCAGAGCCCGGCCGAGGCCTGCAGGAACAGCTCCCGCGCCGCCTCGGGCAGCAGCTCCTCCACGTCCCTGTTCCCCACCAGGAACTCGGCCTGGAACGGCGCCTCCCCGCCTGCGGGGATGGTGACACACGTGGGGACAGCCCGTGGGGTGACACCCGTGGGGACACCCTGTGGTCACCACAGAGCCATCCCAGGGGGTTTGGGGCGCTCAGGCCGTACCTGGAGCAGGGGTGACAACGATGACGAGGCGCTGGGAGGCGGTGGCGAAGGTGTGGCGGTTGTAGGCCAGCACCTGAGGGGACACAGGGGACACCTGGGGTGGGCCAGCTGCGGTCCTGGCTCAGCCCAGGACCCACGGGGCCATACCTGGACACTGTGGGGCCGTACCTGGATGTTGTGGGGCCATACCTGGACACTGTGGGGCTGTACCTGGACACTGTGTGTGCCCATACCTGGATGTTCTGTGTGCCCGTATCTGGATGCTGTGTGTGCCCAGCCCATACCTGGCTGCTCTGTGTGCCCATACCTGGATGCTGTGTGTGCCCAGCCCGTATCTGGACGCTGTGTGTGCCCATACCTGGCTGCTCTGTGTGCCCATACCTGGACGCTGTGAGTGCCCAGCTCCGGTGCCCCCGGGCAGCCGTACAGGAAGCCGGGCTGCCCGGGGCCCCGCTGGGCCAGGCGCAGCCACCGCGGCAGGTCCGGGTGTCCCCACAGGTGGGCACGGAACGTCACCGGGGCTGTGGGGACACGGGGATGGGTATGGGCACTGCCAGTGGCCCCCCTTTACCATGCCCAGCCCCCTGGCCCGGCCCTCACCATCGTCATCCTCGCTGCCACTGAAGGCCTCCAGGAAGGGCTCCCGCTCCAGCTCGTGCACGAAGATGGCTCCGGTCTCGGCGGGGACGCGGAGCTCGGGGAGGACGTGGTGGTCGGGGACAGTGGCCAGGGACACCCCCAGGGCCAGGGCTGTGGCCACACATGGGGCTGGAGCCAGGGCTGGGAGCGTGGCCCCTCCCTGCCTCAGTTTCCCCAGTGCCCACAGACCCCCGGTGCTCTCAGAGGGGCAGGAATGTGTCCCCACAATGTCTGGTGTCCCCTCAGTGCCAGGTGTCCCCTCAGTGTCAGGTGTCCCCTCAGTGCCAGGTGTCCCCACAGAGCCCGGCGTCCCCAGGGCAGAGCAGGAGGATGTTTGGGGGCGATGGGGACAAGGATAGAATGAGGTCAGGGCTGGGACAGAGCAGGGGACAAGGACAAGATGGTGACAAGGATGGGATGGGGACAAGGGCGAGATGGTGACAAGGATGGGATGGGGACAAGGACAGGATGGTGACAAGGACGGGATGGGAACAAGGATGGGATGGGGACAAGGACAGGATGGTGACAAGGACGGGATGGGCCCAGCACTTTCCCCAGCCCTGGCTGTCACACCGAGGTCCCACTCATTGTCCCCTGCCCTGTCCCCTGCTGGCACCAGGACATGGTGGCTTTTTTTAGCTCTGGCACGTCCCAGCCCCGTCCCCCCCTGTCCTCCCCCCTGCACCCCCCGTGTCCCCCCCCAGTTTGGGGTCCCCCCATCCCCTCGGCCCCCCCAGGCCCTGCCGTGTCCCCCGGGGGGTGACAGGGCTGTCACTCGCCTGCCAGCGCCCAGAGCCGGAGCAGCTCGGGGCCCTCCATGTTCCGGCACCGGGAGCGGGGCCAGCGCTGATTGACGGAGCCAGCGGGGCCGGGGGGGCCCTCGGGGGGGTCCCACAGGGGACACCCCTCCGGTGCCACCTCTGTCACCGAGGCACGGCGCTCCGGGGCTGTCCCGTGTCCCCCCGAGGTGTCCCCAGGGCGGGCTGGTCCCGCTGCCACCGCTCGGGGGTGGCGATTTGGGGACACCTGGGGACAGCTGAGACCCCCCCGGCATGGCCACCAGCGGGACGGGAGCACGGGTGTGCGCTGCGTGGGGACGGTGACACTAGAGTTGCGACAGGGGGGGTGACAGTGACAGGGACCTGGGGGGCGGGTCTGCCCCCTCGCCCTCAGGAACGCAGTGGGAAGACAAAAAATGCAAATAATCCCCCCAAAATATTCCCTGGTTGTGCGGAAACGGGGGGCAGCGCTGTCCTCACCGGTCAGGGCCCTTGTCACAGTGTCCCCTCCTGCCACCACTGCCAGGGGATGCGCTGCACCCCCGGAGGGGTTCGGGGGGACATCGGGGTCCTGTGGGGACACTGGGGGGGCTTTGGCGTGGGGGGACCCCGGGGAGGGGGAGCAGGGGACAAGTGGGGGTGACAGGGGACATAGGGACGGGAGTGGGGACACGAGGACAGAGCCGGAAGGGACACAGGGACAGGATGGGAGACGGAGGTACAAACCTGGGGGGGACACGGGGATAAAGGGGGGGGTGTGGGTACAAATTTGAGGGGGTATGGGGACAGGATGGGGACAAACCTGGGGGGACAGTCTGGGGGGACACACGGGGACAGATCCGGGGGGTGGCTACAAATCTGGGGGGTGCAGGGACGAGACTGAGGGGACACGGGGACAGAGCTGCGGGAGAGATGGGGACAGAACTGAGGAGGGAGGGGGGACACACAAGGGGACAGAGCTGGGGAGGGGGACACGGGGACAGAACCGGAGTGGGACACGCGGGGACGGAACCCGAGAGGGACACGCGGGGACAGACGCGGGTGGGGACACGCGGGGACAGAGCCGGGGGGTGGCAGCACGGCAGATGCGGCGGGGGGGCCCCAGGCTGCACAGCGCGGTGCCGGGGGGGCCCCGCCGCAGGGAGGGGACCCCGGGGCGGGCGCGGGGAGCGCAGCGCAGCGTCCCCATGGCCGGGCTGCGGCGGCGGCGGCGGCGCTGAGGCCGAAGCGCGGCTGAGGAAGAGGAAGAGCGAGCGCTGCTCAGACCCAGAGGGCTCTGCGGGCAGCGGGGCGGGCAGAGCGCGGCGGCGGCGGCGGCGGCGGCGGCGGCTCCATCACCGGCGCGCAGAAAGGGGAAGAGGAGGAGGAGGAGGAGCGGCGAGGAAGGAAGGCAGGCAGGCAGGCAGGAAGGAGCGGAGGGGCCCGCGGGATGGCCATGGCCTGACCGGGCCGGGGCAGCGCTGCCCCCCGGCACAGCCCCCCGGCACAGCCCCCCGCCCATGGCGCGGTAGCGGGCGCGGGGCCCGGGGGCAGCGGCGGCGGTGGCGGCGAGCGATGCGGGCGCCGGGACCATGCTGAGGACCGAGGCCGGCGGGGCCGGGGGGGCCCCCTCGGCCGGGGGCGCGGCGGGGGCCGGGGGGCTGCGCAGCGCGTCCCCGCACCGGAACGCCTACGAGGCCAGCATCCAGGCCCTGGCGCCCACAAAGGAGGCCGACGGCGAGGACGGCAAGAAGAGCCGCGGGAAGAAGTATGGCTCCAACGTGCATCGGATCAAGAACATGTTCCTGCAGATGGGGACGGCGCCCGGCCCCGAGGGCGCCTGCGACCTGGCCAAGGCCAAGGAGAAGCCGGTGCGGCTCTCCCTGCCCCGAGCCGGCAGCCTGGGCGATGGCGTGGACCAGGGCAGCCTCCTCAAGCTGGGCACCAGCGTCTCGGAGCGCGTCAGCCGCTTCGACTCCAAGCCCGACAAACCCTTCTCGAAGCTGCAGGAGACCCGCAAGATCTTCGAGAGGAGCCCGCAGGAGAAGGCCACCAGCACCAAGCTGCTGCTGCGCAAGGAGCGCGCCGGCTTCCAGGACCGCAAGCTGGACGTGGTGGTGAGGTTCAACGGCAGCACCGAGTCCCTGGACAAGCTGGACGCCGACGCCGTGTCGCCCACCGTGAGCCAGCTCAGCGCCGTCTTCGAGAAGGCCGACCTGAGGAACAACCTGCACAAGGCGCAGGGCCGGGCGGCCGCGCCGCTGGGCGCCAAGGCGGTGGCCAAGCGGCCCAGGGTGTTCGCGCCCGGCACGCGGGGCGATGGCACCGGCGATGGCAGTGCCACCCCAGCCCGCGCCCGGCCGCCCGAGGAGGAGAAGGCAGCGGCCAAGAGCGGGCGGCCGGCGGAGAAGGAGGCGACCACCGCGCCGAGGGTGCAGGAGGTGTGCAAGATCAAGCCCGTGGAGGTGGAGGAGAGCGGAGAGGGCGAGGAGGAGGAGGAGGAGGCAGCGGCGGGTGAAGCGGTGCCCGCGGCCCAGCCGGCCAAAGGGGATGAAGGCCCCGCAGCCCCTCGGCCGGACGGGGGCTCGGGGGTGGCTGCGGGCGAGGAGGGCGTCAAGGGCGAGCGGGCGGAGGAGGGCGATGGCTCCGAGGAGGCCAAGAAGGAGGACTTCTCCGAGGCCGACCTGGTGGACATAAGTGCCTACAGCGGGCTCGGGGAGGACTCGGGGGGCAGCGGGCTGGAGGAGGAGGACGAGGCCGAAGGGCTGTACGAGCCCGAGTCGGGCTGCGTGGAGATCCCGGGGCTGTCCGAGGAAGAGGAGCCCGTGCCCAACCGCAAGATCCAGTTCAGCACGGCCCCCATCCAGGTGAGGCTGGCTGGGCATTGGGGTGGCTGAGCAGGGAGGGCAGCCAGGGTGAGGGGTGCCAGGGTGAGGGGTACCTCAGGGTGATGGGCAGGCCAGGATGAGGGGTACCCCAGGATTGAGGGGTACTGCAGGGTGAGGGGTATCCCAGGATGAGGAGTGCCAGGGTGAGGGGTACCAGGGTAATGGGTACCCCAGGATGAGGGGTACCTCAGGGTGATGGGTACCTCAGGATGATGGATACCCCAGGGTGAGGGGTATCAGGGTGATGGGTAGCAAGGTGAGGGGTACCCCAGGGTGATGGGTACCCCAGGATGAGGGGTACACCAGGGTGATGGGCAGCCCAGACTGGGCTGTGTGACCCCCACACAATCACCCCTTTAGCAGGGACAGAAAAAGGGGCTGGGGGTCTGTGTCTCCATGCCCTGTGCCCCCCATGGGACAGGGCTTCCTGTCCCTGTCCCTGTCCCTGCACTGGGGGAAGCAGCGCCTGGGCCTGGTTAATTAGCTGATTAATGAAGGGCTGTGCTTGAACCCCCCAGGCCCCGTGTGACAGTGACAGGTGGCACTGGGACCCAGCACAGCACCCAGTGCCACCGCCGTGTCGTGCCCAGGCCGGGCCCAAACCTCTCCGTATTTTGGGTGGGGATGCCCAAAATGCCCCGGAATGGGGCTGGGGAATCCCTGGGGGCTCCTCCCTGCCCGGGGGTCCCTGGGGACACGGTGACAATGGCGGGGGGGGGGATGTGCTCGGTGCCCAGGACGGTTTGGGGAAGTGGAGGCAGAGGAGGAAGGGGAGGAAGGCAGGAAGAGAGGCAGAGGAGGAAGGGGAGGAAGGGAGGAAGGGGAAGTGCTCGGCAGCGTGGCCGGGTGGGCGGCATCACCCCCTCTCCCTTGCGGGGATCCTGCGGGGTCGGGGGTCCCCAGCCGGGATAGAGGGGGGGATAACGGGGCCGTGCAGCTCTTTGGGGGTGTCGGGTCCCCCCGGCCGCAGCAGCAGCAGCAGCAGAGGGTGCTTTGTGCCCGAGCCGGGTTATTTTTAGAGGCCGGCCTATATTCTGGCTCTGAGTCAGAGCGGGTGGGTGGCCCCACCTGGGACGGGGACAGGGGACAGACACCGCCATGGCCCGGCTGGGGACACGGGGGCCTGCAGCAGGAGGGTGGCCCTGGTCCCGTGGGATGTGCCAGCCCAGCCCTGGGAAGGCGCCCTGGCTGGGGATGGGGATTTTGGGGTGCTCTGCTCACCCCGTAAATGGGGATTTTGGGATGCTCTGCTCACCCCATGGATGGGGATTTTGGGGTGCTCTGCTCATCCCATAAATGGGGTTTTTGGGGTGCTCTACTCACCCCATGGTTGGGGGTTTTTGGGGTGCTCAGCTTACCCCATGGATGGGGTTTTTGGGGTGCTCTGCTCACCCCACAGATAGGGGTTTTTGGGGTGCTCTGCTCACCCCACTGATGGAGATTTTGGGGTGCTTTTCTCACCCCATGGGTGGAGTTTTTGGGGTGCTCTGCTCACCCCACTGATGGGATTTTTGGGGTGCCCTGCTCACCCCAAAGCCTCTCAGCTGTGAGGGGGCACATGGGGATAGGTGGGGTGGACACCCAGGTGTTAGAGCACCCCAAGCCCCTGCCTGGGTGATGCTGAGCCCCCCAAACCCACTGTGGAGGGGAAGGTGAGTGACATTAGGGACCCCCCCCCCCAGCCCAGCACATTGCAGCCCCTTCCCCACTGCAGACCCCCCCCCAATCCCAAATCCCCCAGGACCCAGGGACAGGATGGGGGGCACAGCATGGGACCCCCCCAAGGGATTTCCTGTGACAGGGGGACATCGTTGTGACCAGGGGGACATTCTGTCCCCTACCCTGCTCCTCCCGGTCACCCCTGGGTGCCACACGGTGGCTCCTGCCCGTCCGTGGGTGTCACCAGCCTTTGTCCCCTGACACTGGGCCCTAATTCCCTTTGTGGCCAGGCTTTATCCCGTGCTGTGTGATCCCTAATCCCCTCCCTGGCGGCACCGAGGGGCTGGGGCCCCTCCGGGGACATCTGCCAGGCCTGGCCAGCCCCTCCCCACCGCCCCCAGGGAGCAGGGCATGGCTGCAGCCTGGCCACAGCAGCCTGGTGCCCATCCCAGCCCGGCCAGGGAGGCTTTGGGGTGTCCTGGCACCGTCCCCTGTCCCCAAGCCACCCTCATTCACCCCTTTGTCCTTCCCAGCCAGGGAGGCTTTGGGGTGTCCTGGCACCGTCCCCTGTCCCCAAGCCACCCTCACTCACCCCCTTTGTCCTTCCCATCTCCCCCCTGTCACCATTCGGGGTTCTCCAAGGGCTCGGTTCCATCCTGGGGGGCTCCTGTGGGCTGTTCCCCCCCTGGCTGAGCCCTCCCTGGTGCCCCCAGGTGTTCAGCACTTACTCCAACGAGGATTACGACCGCCGCAATGAGGACGTGGATCCCATGGCGGCCTCGGCCGAGTACGAGCTGGAGAAGAGGGTGGAGAGGCTCGACCTGTTCCCCGTGGAGCTGGAGAAAGGTGGGTGCCGCCCCCAGGGCCGTGCCCAGGGCGGCCCGGAGGTGCCAGCCCGGCGGGACACGGCTCTGTGTGCCCGCAGACTCGGAGGGGCTCGGCATCAGCATCATCGGGATGGGCGCGGGGGCCGACATGGGCCTGGAGAAGTTGGGGATCTTCGTCAAGACGGTGACGGAAGGAGGGGCAGCGCACCGGGACGGCAGGTACGGCTGGGGGCAGCGGGGCAGGGCTGCCAGGGCTGCCCCGGGGCTGGGCAGGGGCTGTGAGGGTGCCCTTGTCCCCAGGATCCAGGTGAACGACCTGATCGTGGAGGTGGATGGCACCAGCCTGGTGGGCGTCACGCAGAGCTTCGCTGCCTCCGTGCTCAGGAACACCAAGGGCAGGGTCAGGTATGAGCTGGGATTTGGGGGGGTGGGAGCACTGAGACCCTCCCCAGGCTGTGCTGAACCCCTGGGATCCCTGCCCCACAGCCTGGCCCCACAGCCTGGCCCCAACTCATCCTCACCCCCTGAACCTGCCACTCCTGGGACAGCTGCAGGGCTGTCCCCTGGCTGTGCCACCCCTGGAATCCTGGGGATCCCTGCCCCACAGCCTGTCCCCATCTCCCCGCAAAGTGCCACCCTGGTGACCCCAAAGTGCTCCCAACTCATCCTCGCTCCCTGAACTCGCTGCTCCTGGGAGAGCTGTAGGGGTGTCCCCTGCAAAGGGCATCAGAGGTGTCCCCTGGGTGTCCCCCCCCGGGTGTCCCCTGGCTGTGCCCCCTGAGTGTCCCCCCACTGGGTGTCCCCTGGCTGTCCCCTGGGTGTCCTCCCTGACCCGCGGTGCCTCCTGGGTGTCCCCTGGCTGTGCCTCTCCCCCTGGGTGTCCCCTGGCTGTGCCCCCTGGGTGTCCCCCCTGACCCGCGGTGCCCCTGGGTGTCCCCTGGCTGTGCCCCCTGAGTGTCCCCCCACTGGGTGTCCCCTGGGTGTCCCCTGGGTGTCCCCCCTGACCCACGGTGCCCCTGGGTGTCCCCTGGGTGTCCCCCCTGACCCGCGGTGCCCCCCAGGTTCCTGATCGGGCGGGAGAAGCCGGGCGAGCAGAGCGAGGTGGCGCAGCTGATCCAGCAGACACTGGAGCAGGAGCGGTGGCAGCGCGAGATGATGGAGCAGCGCTACACGCAGTACACCGAGGATGACGAGGAGGCGAGTGAGGGCACGGCGCCGCCCTGCAGGGCTGGGGGTGGCACGGTGGGCACCCAGAGGTGCCAACCCCGCCCCTGTGCCCCCCCACAGACCGGGGAGTACGCCACGGACGAGGAGGAGGAGATGAGCCCCATGTTCCCCAGCGGGGAGATGGCCATCGAGGTGTTCGAGCTGGCCGAGAACGAGGACGCGCTGTCCCCCGTGGAGATGGACCCCGAGAAGCTGGTGCACAAGTTCAAGGAGGTGAGGAGGGGCTGGAGAGGGCAGGGGGTGCCCGCCCGGGGGGCTGTGCCCACCCCGTGCCCACCCTGGCTCTCCCACAGCTCCAGATCAAACACGCCGTGACCGAGGCTGAGATCCAGCAGCTCAAGAGGAAGGTGAGGAGGGGTCCTGGATGCCCAAGGCTGAGGGGCACCCTGACAGCTGCCCTGGCACCCTGGATGTCCTTCTGCACCTGCCCTGCATGGGCCATGCCATGTCCTGTCACCTGGCTGTGCCATGTCCTACCATGCTGTGCCATGTCCCATCCCCTGGCTGTGCCATCTCCTGCCTGTCATCTGGCTGTGCATTGTCCTGCCTGTCACCTGGCTGTGCCATGTCATGCCACACTGCACCACGTCCCATCCCTTGGCTGTGCCACGTCCCATCCCTTGGCTGTGCCATGTCCCATCCCTGACTTTGCCACGTCCCACCCCTGGCTATGCCATGTCCCACCCTGTCCCCTGGCTGTCCCATGTCCCATCCCTGGCTGTGCCATGTCCTGCCTGTCCCCTGGCTGTGCCACGTCCCATCTCTGACTGTGCCATGTCCCACCCCGCTCCCTGGCTGTGCCACACGCCGTGGTGACCCCGCTGTCCCCAGCTGCAGTGCCTGGAGCAGGAGAAGGCGCGCTGGAGGGCCGAGAAGGCCCAGCTGGAGCAGAGCGTGGAGGAGAACAAGGAGCGCATGGAGAAGCTGGAGGGTTACTGGATGGAGGCCCAGAACCTGTGCCAGGCCGTGGACGAGCACCTCAAGGAGACCCAGGCCCAGTACCAGACCCTGGAGCGCAAGTACAGCAAGGCCAAGCGGCTCATCAAGGAGTACCAGCAGAAGTGAGGGCAGCTCCCGGTGTCCCCTCGGGAAGGGACCTGTCCCCAGGGTGTCCCACACTGCCCCGGGCACCCCTGTCCCTGGGCACAGACTGGGACACTGGGCTGAGCCATCCCCTGGGCTGTGGATCCATCCCTGACCATGGATCCATCCCTGGCTGTGCATCCATCCCTGGCTATGAGTCCATCCCTGGCCATGGGTCTATCCCCAGGCAGCCCCTGTCCCTGTGCCCTTGGTGTGGAGTCCTCGAGGGGCTCTGACCCCTCTGTGGCACCCTCTGTCCCTGGGCACAGACCGTCCTTTGGGCAGGGACACCTCCCTGAGGTGCCAAACCCTCCCTGGCACCCTGTGTCCTTCCTTCTGAACCTTCCCTGGGCATGGGCTCACCCTGGGGAACCAACTCCTTCCCCTTGACTCAGACCCATCCCTGAGGTCCCAAATCCTTCTGGGCACCCTTTGTCCACTGGCAGGGACCTTCCCCTTGGCACGGATCCATCTTAGGAGCACCCTGGGACAGAGGACGAGCTTTGAGCCCAGCCCTTCCAGGATCCCATGATCCATGGCGCACCAGCTCCTTCCTGAGCATGGCCCATCCTCTGGGGGATCCCCGGGCACCCCAACCCGCCCAGCAGGGTCCTGCCCTGCCACCCAAACCCTGGGATGTGCCCTGGCTGGGGACGGGCACCCACGGCGCCAATCCCCGCAGGGAGATCGAGTTCCTGAAGAAGGAGACGGCGCAGCGGCGGGTGCTGGAGGAGTCGGAGCTGGCGCACAAGGAGGAGATGGAGAAGCTGCAGGAGAAGGTGGGCACGGGGCGCCGGGACGCGGGATGTCCCTGACCCCCTGCCCGGCCCCGCCGTGCCAGTGATGGATCCCGGGATCCGCTCGGGATCGGCCGCCAGACCCCAACGGGCGGCCCCGGAGCTCCGGACTGAGCCACGGATCCCACACCGGACCGTGGGGGATCTGCTCCCACCGGACCCTGCTGCTCCTGCCGCTGGATTGCCCTGGATCTGCTGGGGATCTGCTGGGGATCTGCTGGGGATCTGCTCGGGATCTTCTTGGGTGTCCTGAGCCTCCTCCCGGGCCTGGATCCCGCTCTGGATCGCAGCGGATCTGCCCGGGCTCCAGCTCTGGGGCCTGACGTGCCCTGAGGGGCGAGAGGGATCTCCCCAGCAGTGGATCCCGGCTCTGCAGGGTCCTGGTGACCAGAACCGAGCCTGGAGGATCCACAGGGTGCCGGTGATGGGCACCGAGCGCGGGAGATCCCGGGGACCGGCGCTGAGCACGGGGGATCCCAAAGGATCCCGGTGACCAGAACCGAGCGTGGGGGATCCCAAAGGATCCTGGTGACCGGAACCGAGCGTGGGGGATCCCAAAGGATCCTGGTGACCGGAACCAAGCACAGGGGATCCCAAGGGATCTCGGTGACCAGAACCAAGTGTGGAGGATCCAGGGAATCCCAGTGACTGGCACCGAGTGTGGGGGTCCCAGTGACCGGCACTGAGCCCAGGGGATCCCAAAAGATCCCAATGGCCGGTGCTGAGCACGGGGCCCGGCGCTCCCGTTGGGATCCCATGCTGGTCATGCTGGATCCCCCACGGGTCCTGCGGGGCAGAGCGGATCCCAAAGGATCCCAAAGGATCCCGCCGGGGGGGTCACCGGGGAGGGGCCAGCCCTGCCCGGCCGGGGGGCACCAGGGCACAGCGGGGAGGTCCCCAAGCAGAGCCCCCCCCTCCCACTCAGCCACCTCCATCACCCCCCAAAATGTCCCCTGGCATCCCACAGAGACTCACCCAGCACCTGCCTGCAGCCCCCTGCCCATCCCAGCCCATCCCTGTGCCCCCCGTGTGTCCCTCAGTCACCCCCATGTGTCCCACAGTCACCTCTGTGTGTCGCCAATCACCCCAGTGTGTCCCCAAGTCACCCCTGTGTGTCTCTAGTGTGTCCCCCAGTCACCTCAGTGTGTCCCTCAGTCACCTCTGTGTGTCCCCCAGTCACCTCTGTGTGTCCCTCAGTCACCTCAGTGTGTCCCTCAGTCACCTCTGTGTGTCCCCCAGTCACCCCCATGTGCCCCCCAGTCACTTCCGTGTGTCCCCGGTGTGTCCCCCAGTCACCCCCATGTGTCCCCCAGCCCCAGTGTCCCCAGTCTGCCCCCCACGTGTCCCTCTTTCCCCCCTGTCCCCCGCCTGCCATCTCTGTGCCCCATCCCTGTCCCCCCGGTGCCACCCCCCCATGTCCTGCCCCCCTTGTCCCCATGGCTGTGCCCCCCCCCCCCCACCGTGTCCCCTGTCCCCATGCGTGTCCCCGTGTCCCCCCCAGCCCGGTGTGTGTCCCCCCCCGGCCCCCCCCGCTGAGACCTGTCCCCTTTGCTGTTTTTCAGATCTCCGAACTGGAGGCCAAGCTGCAGACTTTGAAAAATTCCAACCCGACCTAAACCACCCTCAAAAACCGCAGCGATCCTGGGGGGGCCCCCTTCACATCCCCCCCCCCACCCCCGGCCCTGCCCCCCCGCCCCATCCCAGCCCTTCCCCGGGGGGAGGGGGGGGGTGAGACCCCGCCAAGGCCTCCTGGTGCCCCCCACCCCCCTCGGGGGCACGGACGGGGGGGTCCGGGGGGGGGGGACACCCCGCGTTCGTGTCTGTGTCCAGTGTGAGTCTCGTGGTGACGTGATGGACCCGCGGGGGGGGCGCGGCCCCCCCCAGGCCTCCCCCTCCCCTCGACGTGACCCCCCCGCCCCCGGACACAGCTGGCACATCTGGGGGGGGCGCACAGGACGATGCCCCCCCCTCAAATCCCCAAATAATGTGAGCCATGCTGGGGGGGACGCTGGGAGCCCCCCCAGACCCAGCTCCTCCTCTCGGGACTCACCGGAGCACGGCCGGGGGGGTCTTTGCTCCGCACCCCCCCCCACCACGGACTCACCCCCAGCCCCACATCGAGGTGACCCCGGGACCATCGCCATGGGGGGGGGACCCCGAGTGTCCCCCCCCCGACCCCTCAGTGCCACCATCGCCGGGCAGGGGGCACCCCCGAGCCTTTGCCAAGCCCGCAGGGGATGGGGGGCACCAGCCCCGCTGCCCCCCCCGGGAATGGGGGGCTGCCTGGCGCCCCTCTATGGGGAGACCCCCAGCCCCACCAACGCCCCCCCCCCAGCCTGGGGCTTTCGCCTTCCCCGGGCGGGGGGGACACACGGGGGGGGTCCCCTCTGGGGTGGGGGCGATGCTCCCCCTCCTCACCTGTAAATAACCCCCCCCCCCCCAAAATCACGGCATTTCTCTGGGGCCGGGACACCCCCCAAGCTCCGGCCGCCCCCAGCCGGGCCGGGGGGGTCCCGCCCTTTGATTTTCATTTCTATTTTGCCCCCCCCGCCCCCGAGTCTCCGACAGTAACTGGATGTGGGGGCAACTGGGAGCCAGAGCTGGTTATACTGGGAAGGGGAGGCGGGGGGGGCGCGCGGGGAGGGGGCGGGGGGGGCGGGGCCGGGGGGTCCGACTGGATTGGAGCCACTTCGGGGAGGGGGGAGGGGGCTATTTAATGGGGGGGGGGGGTCCGGGGAGCGCGAGCCCCGGGGGGGGCCGGGGTTATTTAATCTCACACGTGTACCTGTGGGTGTATATACTATATATAATGTACCTATGTAGCACCGCTCCCGCTCTCCGCGCCCGGCGCCGCCCCCGCCCCAAAAACGCCGCCCCCGCCCCATAAACGAGACCCCCGCCCCACAAATGCGGGCTCGGCCTCGCCCCCCGCATCCTCCTGCCGGCGGATGGGCCCGGGGGGCATCGGGGAGGGTGGGGGGGATGTGGGGAATCATTTGGGGTCGTAGGAAGGGGTGGGGGGCACTGGGGAGGGGGGAGGGAATGTGGGGAATTATTTGGGGTCACGGCAATGAGTGGGAAGGGGTGGGGGGCACTGGGGAGGGTGAGAAGAATTGGGGGACTGGGAAGGATGGGGGGGAACTGGGAGGCACTGGGAGGGTTGGGAAGGACTGGGAGTGATTTGGGGTGGTGGGAAGAAGTGGGGGGCATGGGGAATGGGCTGGATGGGGGACACTGGGAGGCACTGGGGGTGATTGGGAAGGACTGGGCGGCACTGGGAGAGCTGGGCACGGTGCGGGGGCGCACTGGGAGGATCCCCTGGGTTGGTGGGCACTGGGGGACACTTGGGGACGCTGGTGGCACCGCTGTGGCCGTGCCCGTGTCCCGCCGGTCGCTGTCCCTTCAGCACCGACGCGCGTCCGTCCCTTCGTGCCCGGTGTGGCCGTGCCCTCAGTGCCCCCCGGCGCTGTCCGTTCAGCACCGGGCTCGTGTTCGCTGTCCCCCGGGTCCCGGTGTCCCCATCCCCGGTGTCCGTTCAGCACCCCGGTGTGTTCGCGGTCCCCCGGGTCCCGGTGTCCCCATCCCCGGTGTCCCCATCCCCGGTGTGTTCGCGGTCCCCCGGGTCCCGGTGTCCCCATCCCCGGTGTCCCCATCCCCGGTGTGTTCGCTGTCCCCCGGGTCCCGGTGTCCCCATCCCCGGTGTCCGTTCAGCCCCGGGCTCGTTCCGGGCGGGGCAGACCCCGCCCCCGCCGCCCCCGCCGTTTCCGGGTTCCTGTGCCCCCCCCGCGGCCCCCGGCCCGGTGGGGCGGCTCGGCAGCGCCCTCCGCTCCCACCGGCCCCGAGCCCGGCCCGGCGGGAGGCGAGCGGGGCCGAGCAGGATGCCCGAGGAGCGCGGGTGAGTGGGGAGGGGGGGATCGGGCGGGGCGTCACCCCGGACAGCGGCCCCGGTACAGCCCCGGTACAGCCTCGGTATAGTCACGGTACAGCCCCGGTACGGCCCCGGTTCAGCCCCAGCCCCGGTATAGACTCGGTAGAGCCCCGGTACAGCCTCGGTATAGTCACGGTACAGCCCCAGCCCCGGTACAGCCCCCGGTATAGCCCCGGTACAGCGCCAGTATAGTCTCGGTACAGCCCCGGTATAACCCAAGCCCCGGTACAGCCCCGGTACAGCCACAGCCCCGTTACGTTCCCGGTAGCTCCCGTCCCCCGGGACAGCCCCATGCCCTCGGTTCGATATTCCCGGTCCAGACTCATTCCCGGTCCGGCATTTCGGGTCCAGCCACACCCAGGGACACCATTCCCGGTCCAGCCTCCCCCACCCGCCGGTACCGGCCTCTCCCGGGGCTGATCCCCCCTCCCCGATGCCTCCGAGCCCCGTGGAGCCCCCGCCCCTCCCGAGGCTCCCCGAGCCCCGGGGGCGGGGGGATTTAACCCCTTCCCGGCCGCTCTGCAGCGGGGATCCCCAGCTCCCTTCCCATGGGAGGCACAGAGGGGCTGGTCCCTCCCCTGATGTCCCCTCTGTCCCCAGCCCTGTCCCTCCTTCTGATGTCCCCTCTGTCCCCAGCCCTGTCCCTCCCCTGATGTCCCCTCTGTCCCCAGCCCTGTCCCACCATGTCGGTCTCCAAGCTGCAGGACACGGACGAGGTTTTTGGTGAGTTCCTGTTCCAGGGGGGGCCTGGGGTGCAGAGCCCCCCTGGGGGTGCAGAGCCACCCGTGGGTCCCCACCCACCCTCAGTGTCCTCCTGTGTCCGGGCTTGGGGACAGTGTGGGCTTGGGGACACGGGGATGTGCGTGGGGAAGGGGACATGGGGACACACAGAGGGTGTGGGGTGACAAGGACATGGGGACACATCCAGGGCACTCAGACATGGGGGACAGGGGGCACAGGGGTGTGCAGGGGGTGACAGGGACCTGGGGACACAGGGACCTCGGGTGGGGTTGGGGTGCAGGGCTCAGAGCAGGATGGGGATATTGGGGGGATCCCGGTGGCACCTGGGCAAAGCGTGTCCCCCCTGGGTGACGGGGACACTCTGTCCTCAGGGTCACCCACTCCTCTGTCCCCGTGCTGGGCCATCTCTTTGAACACTTCTCTCTGTCCCCTTGTCCCCTGTCCCGCCCCACTGGGGTGCCCCATCCATGTCCCCAATGCTCCCCTCTCCTTGTGCCCCCTCCTGTCTTCCTGGGACTGCCCACCTGCCCTTTGACTCTCCCGCCCTGTCCCTGTCCTTCTGTCCCTCTGTCCCCTCTCCACTGGGCTGGCCTTCCCTGTCTGTCCACCTGCCTCCAACGCTTCCCTGTCCCTTTCTCCCTGCTCATCCCTCCCTCCATCTCCCATCTGTCTGTCCATGGATCCATCCATGGATCCATCCTTCCCTCCATCCATCATCCATCCATCCTTCCCTCCATCCATCCATCCATCCATCCATCCATCCATCCTTCCCTCCATCCATCCATCCATCCATCCATCCATCCATCCATCCGTCCATCCGTCCATCCATCATCCATCCATCATCCATCCATCCATCCCTCGCTCCATGTCCATCCCTCCATGTCCACCCCCGCGTTCCCGCTCTCTCCCACCCCACGCCGTCCCGCTGTCTGTCCGTGTGTCCGTCCGTCTGTCTCTCTCTGCCCCGGTGTCTCTGTCACGGGCAGATTTTACCGCTGTGGTTCCAGAGACGCCGCGTTTGGACAGCAGCCTGCACAAGGCCCGCGCCCGGCTCCTGGCCCGCGGCCGCCGCCAGCGGCCCTCGCGCTCCCGCCTGCGCGACAGCGCCAGCTCCACCGAGGGCGACGAGGGGCCCGAGGCCGCGGTGAGACGGGACAGGGGCCGGGGGGCATGGGGACACCGGGCATGTGGGGTCACAGGGGCTGGGGACACCAGGGATGGACTCAGGGGACAGTGGGGCTGGAGGTCGCAGGGATTCGGGACCTCAGGGATGGCCTTGGAGGACATCAAGGGCTGGGGGCTCACAGGGACTGGGGACACCAGGGATGGACTCAGGGGACAAGGAACTGAGGGGTCACAGGGATTGGGGACACATGGTCCGGGGGGTCACAGGGGCTGGGGACACCAGGGACAGAGTCAGAGGACACCAGGTCTGGGGGGGTCACAGGGATTGGGGACACCAGGGATGGACTCAGGGGACATCAAGGGCTGGGGGGGTCACAGGGATTGGGGACACCAGGGATGGACTCAGGGGACATCAAGGGCTGGGGGGGTCACAGGGATTGGGGACACCAGGGATGGACTCAGGGGACATCAAGGGCTGGGGGGGTCACAGGGATTGGGGACATCAGGGATGGACTTGAGGGACAGCGGGGCTGGGAGTGCCAGGGATTGGGGACACCGGGGATGGACTCAGGGGACACCAGGGCTCGGGGGCACAGGGACTGGGGACACCAGGGATGGACTCGGGGGACATCAAGGACTGGAGATGACACAGGGATTGGGGACACCAGAGATCCCAGGGACAGGCCTGAGGGGCACCATGGACACCAAGGATGGGTTGGAGGATGGCGTGTTTGGGGACAGGGGAGGTGGTCTGGGGGACATGGGCTCTGACCCCTGCCCGTGCCCCCGCAGGGCACCGAGGGCGAGGGCAGCCCCCCGGCCCCCTCGCCCTTCTCCCGCACCGACGGCTTCTCCTTCGAGCCAGGGGTGGCACGGCCGGGCCTAGG